CCATCTGCCAGGATTTTTTCCCTATGGAAAAAATACCTTTACGTTTACTTTTAAAAATACCTTTCCAATTTTTTCCCCATGGAAAAAAAAAAACCTTTAAATTGACCTTTCCAAATAACTTTCGATTTTTTCCCTTTGGAAAAAAAACCAAACAACTTTCAATCCACCTTTCCAAATAACTTTCCATTTTTTCCCCTATGGAAAAAAATACCTTTAAATCCTTGCGCACCTACAGTAACCTTAATCGCTGTGCCTATGCTAAACACTCCATCCTCTAAAAATCACATCATTTCACCCCGAAAAAGAGGCTTCCCAGCCCAAGGCACAGGCTGAGCCCCCCAAAACCCAGCATATCCTCCCCCCGCCTGACCCTATAAGCTATTAACCGTATGGGGAATTAAAGGCTGGAGGCGGCTGGGGTTTGATGACCCTGCTCGATAGGATTAAGGCACCGGAGTCATGTGAAACCCAGACCCAAATTAAATCCCAAGAGACCAAGCTTGGGATTTAAAATACACAGCGGGAATCCAGCCGGAAAAACGATCCTTCAGAAAAAAAACTTGGAAAAAGGTCAAGGAGCATCTCAGCGATGCGACATGCGACACAGCCACACTTTTTTTTTTTTTTATATATACATATTGGGGGGGGGAATTTTTTTTTCCTTCTTTTAACTTTGACTATTTATAAACGGGCAGATAGGAGATGCCGGGCTGTGGAGCAGCGTCCGTTGGGAAAATCCACAGCGGCTTTTCTCACGACCCTGGGGTGGGGGGGCAGAAAGCGCCGTATCCTCCGGAGAGACCAAATTTGGGAAAAAAAAAAATTAAATAAAATAATAGTAAAAATACGTGACTTTGCTATAGATAGAAACACGCTTTAACCCCTGATGTGGGAGAAGGCGGCGGCGATGGGATGGGGGTAGGATTTGAGGTGGAAATGGGGCAGAAATGGGGCAGCAATGGGGATGGAAATGGAGATGGAAATGCGGTAGAAATGGGGGTGAAAATGGGATGGAAATGGGATGGAAATGGGGGGGTGGAAATGGATGGAAATGGGGGTGGAAATGCCAAACATCAGCCCTCATTTTGCTTTTCCCCATCACGATCCCGTATGGACCCCACAGGGTGAGGACGGGATGGTTGAAAGCAAATTTAAAGGCAAAACACGAATATTGGGCTCAAAACCATCTTTTTTTGCTGCATTTTGGTGCCCTTGGTCTCTAAAGTGTCACATCCCAGGGCTCGGATGTAAATTTTTTTAGGGGGCTCCATCACGACCCTGTGGCAATTCATGCCGTTGGGATGCGGAATGTGGTGGAGGAGGATCCTGGTGGGCTGTAAGGACAAAGTGACCCCCGTGCCTCATCCCAACACCCCTTAATTATTTTTTATCATGGAAAAAAACCTTCAAGGAGAAAATCCCAGTGGCTCTGGGAGCGGGGACCCCCACCCAGCATCCCGTCGGGGAGGAAATGCTGCTGCCATTGTTTTTGGGGCCATTTCCTTTCCCCAAAGGCCTCTCCTTCGACGGGAACGCCAAGGGACGTTTCCCTTCGGAGCAACTGTGGCGTTGCCAGAAAAAAATCAAACTGGGTTGAAAATCAGGGTGGGGAAGAAGGGGAAAACCCCATGGAAAGGGGTCAAAGACCCGTCACTCCAAAACCAGCTGGGGTGGCCTTAAAGCACCAGTAAACAAGGGAGGTGGCAGGTTTTTATCACGGGAAAAAGAAAAAAAAAATCGATTTTTTATCTGCCTGATGCCAGGCAGGGGGGTGAATTATCAACCTCAACACATGGGGATCCCTGGGGTGTGTCCATCCTCCTCTTCCCGGGATGGCTTTTGGTTTGGGGGTGCTGGTGGGCTCGGCAGCTCCGAGGAACAAAGCGTCTTTTCACCGGGGACCCAGATTTTCCCCTCTTGGTGCACCCCGAAGAGGGGACAGGGGTGGATTGGGCCCCCACACCCCCCACCTACCTGCTGGAGTGGGGGAACTGGGGGCACAGAGAGCGGCCGGTGGGTGCTGTGACACCACCCCCTCAAAAAAAAAATATCCCTAGATCCTGTCTGGTGCCCCCCTACAGCTCCCCAGGGTCCTACCCGCTGGTCCCCGGCTCCCGCGCATCCTGCTGGATGCCCCCCGACAGCTCCAAGCCCTGCCCGGCGATCCCCCGGTACCGCCCCGTCTTGCTCGGTGCCCCCCGAAAGCTCCCGCGCGTCTTGCCGGGTGCCCCCCTTGGGACCCCCCCATCCTGCACGGTACCCCGAAGTGCTGACCGGTGCCCCCCCGGTACCCCCAAGTCCTGTCCAATGCCCCTCCGGTATCCCCCGTCCTGCCCGCTGTCCCCCGACGCTCCCCCGGCT